AACTTAACCTAACACAAGCTTACTTATAGATCCAAACTAGTGGAGTCACACCTGACTCTACAACTTAACCTAACACAAGCTTACTTATAGATCCAAACTAGTGGAGTCACATCTGACTCTACAACTTAACCTAACACAAGTTTACTTATAGATCCAAACTAGTGGAGTCACACCTGAGTCCACAGGTTAACCTAACACAAGTCAGCTTTAAGATCCAAACTAGTGCAGTCACACCCGAATCTAAAGGTTAACCTAACACAAGTCAGCTTGTAGATCCAAACTAGTGGAGTCACACCTCAGTCTACAAGTTAACCTAACACAGGTCAGCTTAGGTTAACCTGTAGACTCGGGTGTGACTCCACTAGTTTGTATCTTAAAGCTGACTAGTGTTAGGTTAACCTGTAGCCTCAGGTGTGACTCCACTAGTTTGGATCTGGAAACACAAGTCAGCTTGTAGATACAAACTAGTGGAGTCACACCTGAGGCTACAGGTTAACCTAACACTAGTCAGCTTTAAGATACAAACTAGTGGAGTCACACCCGAGTCTACAGGTTAACCTAACACAAGTCAGCTTCCAGATCCAAACTAGTGGAGTCACACCCAAATCCACAGGTTAACCTAACACAAGTCAGCTTGTAGATACAAACTAGTGAAGTCATGCCTATGTCTACAGGTTAACATAACACAAGTCAGCTTATAGATACAAACTAGTGGAGTCATGCCTATGTCTACAGGTTAACATAACACTAGTCAGCTTGTAGATACAAACTAGTGGAGTCATGACGATGTCTACAGTTTAACCTAACACAAGTCAGCTTGTAGATACAAACTAGTGAAGTCATGCCTAAGTCTACAGGTTAACCTAACACAAGTCAGCTTGTAGATACAAACCAGTGGAGTCACAGTTGTCTAAATTTACAAGATGCACTGTTGTTCTCCCAAAAAGAATAAAAATACGAAAATACCTTAAAAATATGTGAAACACGTGAATACACTGTACCCCTCAAGATATAAAACTGACCTCTTCACTATGTACTGTTTAACTACCACATAACCACGAGCTTAATTAACCAGAAACGTTGCTAACCCAACAAAAATGCTACCACAACAACTGTGGGCAGAACGGATGGTCTTCCTTCTTACGACGTCAGTGGACGACTGGAACTATACGTGTTACTTTTATTGTAAGAACACGAAACGCCATCCCTATCGCGAGTTCTCCCCCCCCCCACCACACACACACTTCCCTTGTTTATTTAATTATGACACGTCCGTTCTGATGGTCCTCTAGACTAGGACAGGACTTATCACTTGGTACACTGATAGCTCTCTTGGTGTGGGTACAAAGAAATGCCTTCCACCTACGCTCCCCTCGTTTTTTTTAACAGTACGTTCTAGGGTGGAATGAAAGTTAACATTGTGCAGGTTACCAGATTAGTTGTTGTTTTTTGTTTTTGCATATCTAACAAATGACTCAAGTCATACTACATAACCTCTTCATGAACAAGTTGAACTCTAAAAAATCTTTCATCGGGAATGTGGTGGGGGGGGGGAGGTAGTTATGTTTTATTAAACGTATAGATAATTTTTATCGTCATTGAAACGATACCACCGACAGCAGTTATGAGATTTGATACAAAACACGAGCGTTTTCCCTGACTAAATACAAAGATAAACTCTGACATACTTCGTTCACTTTGATTTTAATATTCCTTTGTACGTTCAAAACTACAGACGCTTTGTGATTAGACTAGTTAAGTTTTAGGCTACAATCTGGCTCGTGGCTATAAGATAAAAATACCGAATGAACAAATTAGTTAAGTTTTAGGCTACAATCAGGGTCGTGGCTATACGATAAAAATACCGAATGAACAGACTAGTTAAGTTTTAGGCTACAATCCAGGTCGTGGCTATACGATAAAAATACCGAATGAACAGACTAGTTAAGTTTTAGGCTACAATCCAGGTCGTGGCTATACGATAAAAATACCGAATGAGCAGACTAGTTAAGTTTTAGGCTACAATCTGGCTCGTGGCTATACGATAAAAATACCGAATGAACAGACTAGTTAAGTTTTAGACTCGACTAATACTGTTCAGGAAAGTTTCAAGAAAATATTGAAGGTACAGAAAGGTATCGGTATCTTGCTGAGAGCGGAAGGGTTGAACGTCATTCATCATTTTTCTGCTACACATGAAATAACAGAGACAGCCATAGTATTGATATTGATGTGTAATCTAAAACATATTGGTTGTCTGATGACTGTCTACTTGATCTCTTTAATCCGTTTTAACAAAGGACTATTTTATCTAGGACTTAGGAAATGATTACACAAACTTATAAAATATAGTTAGCCACGACACGCTGCCCGAAATAACAACGTGATTTTGGAAAGAAGGATTCTTTCTAAATTACAGACAATTGACAGGAACACTCGTAAATGGCGTGTAGCTTTAATAACAGCAGCAGAATTCTCAGAAACTGTTGTTAATATTTAACATCAGAACACGTTAGTTTTAAATATCTACTTCTTCTTTAGCACAATTAGAAACCCCAAACCTAGAACAGCATGGTGAGAAAACCTTACTAGACTTTGGCTTTACTAAACAGTTACTGAGAAACCCAAACCTAGAACAGCATGGTGAGAAAACCTTACTAGACTTTGGCTTTACTAAACAGTTACTGAGAAACCCAAACCTAGAACAGCATGGTGAGAAAACCTTACTATACATTGTCTCTACTAAACAGTTTTTGAGAAACCCAAACCTAGAACAGCATGGTGAGAAAACCTTACTATACATTGTCTCTACTAAACAGTTTTTGAGAAACCCAAACCTAGAACAGCATGGTGAGAAAACCTTATTAGACTTTGTCTCTACTAAACAGTTTTTGAGAA